ACGCAATGTAAATTTTTGGATCACAATTATAGTGACCGAAAAATCCCTGTCCGCCTTCGAAAAGAATTACCCAAATATATTTCTCAACGAGGTATTTATTTTGTTAAATACTGTATGTGACTAATAAATACTACACGTTATAGATACGTGATGCCTAACTTAATCCTATATATTGTTAAAGAATTTGAACTCGACACGTTAAATGAATTACAGCATATTAACTTATTGCCGATCAAAAAAACAAAAGGGCTTTATGATTCGGAGTTAACAGCTTGTGTTAACGCATTCATTGAGAACAATCAGGAGACTTCGGAACATATTTTTAGTTTATTAATTATAATAATAGCTAAGAAACTCCCCAAAATGCAACAATTTTCGGAGTTTTTACATTATCTTATTTACTACGAATTCTTATATTATTGTGTATACCTTTATTGTAAGGTTCTTACAATTTTCTGTAAATATTTTAATTAAGAGGAAGAAGATACATAATAAACTAATTAAAAAATAATTCACTATGCATAATTATAGTTGTTGTGGACGTTTCACTAAAGGTTGCATTACAGTATCGAGTTGACCATATTAACAAGTTTATTGATAGCAATCAGAAGACTTTACATATTTTTTAATTGTTAATTAATAGCCAGAAAATTACTAAATATTCTGTCTGTGACTCGGAATTTTTTATAAAAATGGAATTGGGACCACTTAAAAATACGAGAAATTATTTCAGCAGTATCTGAATCTAGGACAATGTCGTCTTGGATATTGTTATCTTTGTGGAATTAGGATTGCTAAAACACATTTAATGGTGCCTAAATCTACTGAAGGTGGAGATGCTGCTGGGAAATATTTTCTTGGAATTTTTTATCATAATGGAATCGTAATCATTCAAGACTACGAGTAAGCATTTCAGTGATATCTAAAATCTGTTTAACGATGGACAATATAGTCTTAGATTGTGTTATAAGGTTGGAACTTATTTTATTACAATTTTATAGTTTTCTCTTTTTATTTTCACTTCTCTTCCTACACTACTACCTTTTCCATTCCATTTTTTTTATGTACGTTCTTTTATATAGAATTTGCTATGATAAATATGGGCAGATAAGTTAACGCAGTAATGCGTTATGCTATCATGCGCGCCTCAAGGGTAGTATAGCTTAGAAAACATCTATCTTGGGATAGAACTCTGACTTGCAGCCTAGTTTGATCTTGTTAAGCTCACTTGTAATCTCGGAAAATGCGAGACTAATAAATAGTTTAGGATAATTAGCTAACTAGCAGAAGGAAGGACTCGATGAATAATTTGGAATAAGAACAACACACAGACAGTCAGTCTATATGGTATTATGTTTTAATTGAAAACCAATGGAGAGATAAGGTTGCACAAAATTTTAGGTATAAAAACTTGTTAATTTGTCATTATTTTTTATAACACACATGTACTGTACAGTACATGCAATACATACAGTATAAAGTATTCTTATACAACCACAACCACATTTTTTTAATAAAAAGCTCTTTACTCTAAAAGGTGTGATTCTGATAGCCTGGATTGTAACCATATATTTTTTAACAGGTTTATTTAAATCTCATATTAACATTTTATTTCTAATTTATATAAAAAGATTCGTTGCAATTAAAAAATCGTATATCTTCGAATACTAGTGTACTATTTTATATCATACGATGCGCATATACAGTATATTCTTTTCTACCAAAATAAGGATAACCCATATTAGAAAAAAATAAGATTACATACAGCATATACTCATTCAGTAAATCCAGCTAACATTTATTGCGAGAAGTAATAATGAGAAATGCGCATTTTACTTTAATAATAATTCGGCAGACGGTTATCGAAAGCCGCAAAGAAACTCAGCAAAGTATAGTATTTAAGAGAGGTCTTAAAGAAAACGGATTTGTCCTTTGTTGTGACTGCTTGCAAAGCCCCTTGGAATTGAAGCCAAGCCACGTCTTTTAATTAGGATATTTAAAAATATCGTCTCGACCGTATCCTGCAGCCTATGTTTCTCATTAAATGTTTATTTACTTGAGAAGCGTGGCTTCGAGTCAGAAATTATTTGTCTTGGAAATAACAAAGTTGTGGCTAAAGGAATGACTAAGGAAGAAAAAAAACAAACAAAGAATGCACGGATTAAAAATTGAAGTGACGTTTTTTTCTCTGACGTATAACACTTTATCCTTCTCGTTTCATGAACTTGATCTAATTTCTACAGATCAAAAATTAAGGGAACATTCTTCTAATGTCAAATTTTAAAATGATCCTGACATAATAAAAGAGTCAACGACATTCATGTTTCTTAAATAATAATACCTTTTATTGGGTACACTCTGATTTCTAACCTTTTATTTTTCTTATTTTCAAAAAACAAAAAACCCCAACAGTATGGCTTCTTGCATTAAATATCATCGTGAGTTTCCGAAAAGAAATCCTCAAAAATTCACACGCATATATACAGTATATATATTTAAAAAAAGATAAATTTGTTAGTAATGTGTTTTCTATCTATATTATAATATCAGATACGAAAAGAAAGCATTATATTGATATTTTCTTAAGTGTGCCGTTGTTAATATTTACTTTCGTGTGCCCGAGTTTGCGTGAGTATGAGACCATTTGTTTATGTTTGCGGGAAGCAAACGTCGATTTTAAGATTTACACCACTTAATCAACTTTCATGGAAAACATTGCATCCAGAGTATGCAAAGATAATCATTTTTTTAGAGGCGATGGAGACACAATTTGATTTGAATGCACTCGATGTACTGTAAGTATCATCATTTTTTTTTCATACATCCATCCGATATATTGTATTTGGTATTAAGTAAAAAAAATTTTCGGGCATCATCTATCAAGATACTTGGTTGTGTCGCTCATACTGCCCGGTAGGTAGGCTTTGATTTTCCATCGAATTTTAAGGTTACTTATGTTGTCTTATTAAAATAAGTTCACACGTGTATGAAACGACAATAGCCGTCTTAATTATAGATGGGACATGTGATTTGGAATTAATACGATTCAGTACGATTTTAGAGGCGATTGTGCAGGAATTTAACAAGTTTGCAAGGTAATAATCATTTTCGACATATACAGTAATTCAAGCTACCTTTTCATTTTTCACCTTCCTTAATGCCATCATTTGATTCAAAGTCCTTTACTGTTACTTTGGATATTCACTGCTGGTAAGTGACTCTCTTCTAGAATCGCTTCGAGGTTCATTGTACTTTGATTTTTAAAGCAAGCCCAATCTATATACATGGCATACTCGAAGTCCTATATACAAATTACACGTCGGATGAAATGGGCGACGTGCCGTTCACATGTCCAGCCTCTTATGACTATGAAGAACAAATAGTCCGAATAGCATGCATAATCCGAACTTCAAATATAATTTGTATGTGGTTGTTTGCTTTCTTTCTTGCACTTTGGATTATCGCCGAATGTTTTGGACTAATTGGTGATGATGAAGAGGTCTCGGAAAAATTTTCTTCGAGTAACAGAGAAATTATTTTCAGAGCAGAAGAGTTAGAAGATGAAGGGAGCGTGAGGGAAAGCGAAGATTTGGAAAAAGGAGAGAAAGCATAGAGTACAACGATTAACCCGAGTAAATTTTCTGGCTCTCGAATTGATCATGTCATTTTGTAGTGGAAGCTCGAGAATTTCGTTTATTCTCGATCTTTTGATTGTATTAATGTAAAATATTTAATTGTTTTTTAAAAATCGCATTAATTTACAACGAAGTGGAAAATATTTAAAATATTTTTGAATTTTCAAATAATATTTGATGAAAGAACCAAAACGCCGGTGATTTTAATGCTAAAGGTCCAAAGAGATGTTCTATGCACGAAATTGGAAACTAAAATAATAATAATGGGGATGATATGATAACGTGAGAATCGAACAAAATAAATATGCATAATAGAAGGTTGTGAATATAACATTATGTTTATATATCCGAATCTTTTCTCCCTTCTAAAATCTTTCCCGTTCCAGCAACTTGATGCCTTTCAATCATAGTCAATCGTGATCATTCTTTCAACGACATCTTCATCACTACTGTCATCAGAATCCGTGTCAATATCAGAAAAAATATGGTTCGAAACTTGTTATACGTAGTATACAGTATATTGAATAAAGAACTAAATGTCGAGGTTATTGGAAGATTGAAAGAAGAAGAGAGATGGTGAATGAATATTCTGCATATATAGTATCATCTATTTGTAAAGTTAATGATTTACCTGCAACAACAAACCAAGTTATGAGAAAAGAACTTTTTTTTTTTTTTTCCATGAAAACCGAATGGTACAATGATCGTGTAAAAAAAATACAGAGAACACGTCTTGGTATATGTTGTACCTTTTGTACATTTCCAGTTTTCCAGAAATAACATTCAAAGCTTCCTTGAAGTTTAATCAATCCCTGTATGATTAAGTACGCTATATTTTCATTGAATAAAACAGTCTAGTAAAAAGTTGTTAAATTTTTCTAACGAGTAAATTATTTTTGCATATTCTACATGAATAATAGGTGTCATAAGGAGGGAGTTCGGGTAAATCGACTATTTACCCGAGAATAACATTTCGCTATTACTCACGTAATATGGGGCAAAGAAATATTAGTATCACCGAGGGTATGCCTATATAGTATTGATATTGTTTGTTTGCTTTTTGTTTTCGTTTCGTTTCTTTGAACTATTTTTCTCGTCGAATCGCAGCAGATTTGATTTCGTCATTTTTATCCTTTGTTTTTGCTTGTAATTAATTAATATTCGAGTTCCGAGGAATTACGGAACTCTGTAACCAAAAATTATTTACTTTACAAATTTTCTCCGTCAGGAAGTGATAAACGTCCATTTTTTTTGCCAGCATTAGTTCGCGTCCGCCAAACCCACCCCCCCAGCCACAAACCGAAATGCTATCTGTGGAATTTTTGCGCCTTAGGACAAGTCACGCGATAAGAAATGAACGTTTGCAAAGATGGTAAATATTTTAATCTCATGAAATTAAGCAATTTAAATGAAATTCGAAAAGTCTCCCGATCCATTCAAGTCGCGTTGCGTTCTTTAATAATATTTGGAGCGTTAATGTTGGTCGGGTCAAGTTATATATATATACAGTATATGTCTATATTTTTTAAAAAAAGGCTTATCTAATAATACATTTAATTAATATTTTCCAAACAACGCGCAACTCGCGGGATTCACGTAGGTCTTCTATCACGTGAAATATATAATCTTGTGTAACTGATTCTTTTTTTTATAGTCCGAAAATCTGGATTTTTTTTTACATTTACTAAATCATGCCCGCGCAAAGCCCAAATAAAAAGTTTACTTCAAAATCATCGAAATCAAAGAGCGCTTCCAAGATCTCGTCAGTCCGGACTGATAACAAAATTTTCGGTGTAGCAAAGACAACAACAAAGGGTAAAAAGGTTCATTTCGCTGGTGTTCAACATGTCGCGAACAAGAGCGGGAAAATGTCGGTTGGTAAGAAAACCCCTTCGATCATGAAACGCCCAACAAAGAAAATACTGAGGGAAGAGATTGAAGAAGAATCGGAGGAAGATTTTGAAAGTGAAAATGAGGGTTTTGAGGAGATCCACGAAAGTAGTGGTTCCGAGGAGGAATCGGAAAACGAGAATTTGGAAGAGAATCAGATGAATCTTAGTTCAGAGGAGGAAGAAGAACCAAGTGGCGAGGATATTGATGGCTCCGAATCGACTGACGACGAAAATAATTTAAGAAAAGATGTCATAATGACTGGATCCGATGGTTCAAAACTGTCTGGTGATGATGGCGGAGATCTCGATAGTGAAAAACCGGCTGCCAAACGAGTCAAGAAGGAAAAACCTAGTATGTTTTAATGTTTTATGATGTTATTGCCAATATTATACTGCCTCAAGTTAAAAACCATCCATGTTTTTGTATCTCGCATAGATCAAGCACGAATTAAGGCGGCATTTGATCGTAAAAAGAAGGGTGATCGTAAGCTTGATCCTGAATATAGATTGGGACTTAAAGAATGTTGGGAGTTTGCGCGTAAAATAGAAATCTCTCCTGAAGAGAGAAAGAATTATTTAAAGGAACTATTTGAATTGATCGATGGAAATATACCAGAATTATTATTTAAACACGACACTTCGCGGATTATTCAAACTGGATTAAAGTATGGCACTAAAGAACAAATAAATAAGATTGCAGATGAACTGGAAGGTCGATGGTTAGAGGCATCGAAGAATAAGTACGCGAAGTTCGTTGTTCTCAAAATTATGCGGTGTTGGTATGTATTTATCTCGTTCGAATAATTAACATTTTACATTAGATTTTGAAGTTTAAAAATTTATTGGTGGTCAGTCCCAAATATAGAGACAGGATTTTATCCGAACTCGAAGGAAATGTTGCGAGATTAATGATGCACGCCGAAGCTCGCAGTGTCGTTCTCGAAGCCTATGAACTTTCAAATGGGAAACAAAGATTTTCTTTGATTCAGGAATTCTACGGTCCAGAATTTAAGTTGTTTGGGGTATGTTGATTTATTTGGCTATTTAAATATATATATATATATATATTTATATTTAACGTAATCGCTGCATTCCAATTTACGTTCAACATTTTTATTTGATTGCAGAAAACAAAGTGCCTTAGCATTGACGAGCTTGTGGCCGAAGATCCTTTGACCAAGGACAGAATTGTAGAAAGTCTTTCCATCGCGATACAAAATTTCATGAAAAAGCCTGAGCTATTACGTTTCATCATTCCTCATCGAGTTTTACTGGATTTTTTCACGTATGCCAATGAGATCAAGATACGCTCAACGATAGAATTGATTGGAAAACATGTTCCAGAGATTTTGCATACCCGAGAGGGTGCAAGAGTTGCAATGATTTGCTTGACTCACGCAAGCGCAAAGGTAATATTTTGGGATGCCCTTTCCTCTATTTTATCTGTTGTTTATACGTTAACTATAACAAACATCTTTATTACCACGTGCCAGGAACGTAAAATTATATTACAATCAATGAAGGATTATGTTAAAGACATTTGTTGCGAAGAATATGGTTATCTGGTATTGTTAAGAGCATTTGATGTTGTTGATGACACCGTCTCATTAACCAAATATATTATTGACGTACGTATAAAAAAAAAAAAAAAAGAAATTTTCTTTTCAATATTTTGCTTTGACGGATATTACTTAATGAAATTTGTGCACCTACTTGAATAGAAAATAGTTAAACCGGATTCTTTTGAGACCATATCGCAAAACAAATATGGGCACCGCGTATTTTTATACCTTTTGACTGGAAGGTCAAAAATGTATTTTAGCTTTGATACGTTAAAATTACTCTCACAGGACGACCATATTCGTGAAAAAACGAGGTTTGTGACAACCTTTCTCCTGAGCGCATTGATAATGAAATCGTATTTATCATTTATTCACGTGAATGTTTTATCCTTAAAATATGGGTTGGCAGTAAGAAGGATCCAACTGTTAGAGCAAATGAACTTCGCAAGGCCATATCTCCTGCCTTAATAGAATATGCCAAGAACAACACCGCTCATATGCTATCTAATTCTTATACAACACAACTTCTTTTCGAAACGATGCTTTGTGGAGAATCTAGCCTTGAAGAAAAAAGACCAACTTTGGAGAATATATCGAATATAATAAGCGAGAAAAAAAGGGACGATAAAGATAATATTATGACCACATATGTTAATCGGTTTCTTAAAGTATTGGTTCAGGGAAGGCATCGAAAATATCCCAAACAAACCATTGCGAAGAAAGATGATCTGCCCGAAGGTAGTGAATCCACAGTCAATCGAGTTAATCGAGAGACTCATACCATCGACGACAAGGAAGAGGGTTCTGGCGATGAAAAAGCGGAATTACATTTTTCGCAAATATTATTTAATACCATAAAAAATGATTTACTATATTATTCATGCCATGTTACAGCATCTTTTGTAATATTGGCATTATTGGAAGACGAAGAAACAAAAGATGAAGTCAAGGGTATTTTGACAAAGGGCATAGATTTAATTAGAAAGGCGGCCCTTGAAGATGAGAGATCGGGCGCTTCGCTAATTTTAAAAGTGCTTAACGAATCGATGTCACCCAAACAAGAAGTGGAGGATAAAGTGAAAGGCACAAGAAAGGGAACGGTAATTAAGCAAAAAACGAAAGCGAATACAGTTGACAGTGAGAAAAAGGGTGGAGAAAAACGAAAGAAGCGCAAGAACCCTCTGTAATATATGCTTTTAGCCAAAACCAATTAGCGGTATAATTTCAACAAGCATAAATTAATATAGTCAAGTTTTTTTACTACATCAAGATTCGATTACTGCTTAGGATTGGGATCATTTGCTAATTATTTATACAAACGGAAAACAACAAAATTACCATTTGAATATTGCTTTAACATTATTTAAAGCTGTTTAATTATTTGAAAAATAATTAAAAAATAGAAAAGAATTTTTTTAACTCCAGTAAATAAATACCTTGTCTTATTCTCCAACATGAATTCCTTATAATAGCGACTTTTGATGCAAACCAGAAGGCGAATAAAAAATTTTTTTATTGTTTTTTTAAATTCTATTAAAGTATTCGATAAAAGAATTTAAACTTGTAAACAAGACATCATAGTTAGTTTATCTGACCGAGCAAAAAACTAAAAATGACTCTATGAAAAAATCGAACTACTAATTAGATACATCGGTTAAACCACATATCGTTTATTATACGTGTTAGATACAAAAATGAAACAGAGGTCTCAAATGAATGCTTCTAAGTATACATCACTTTTTAGAAACAACTCTCTCGGGTGGATTCGGAAATAATGATTCAAACGAAGGGTAATCCGGTTGAATAGCGTCACTATAATCATTGTAATCGCTTAAAGTCATTCGGTTCATCGAGGAGATACCCTGATGCTCCATCTCTAATTCATGCACTAATGTTTTACTTGATCGGTCACCACCACTGTCTTTAATTACTGCTGGTGATGGGTAATCATGAGCATCATGGTCATCAACTCTATAAGAGTCTTCAAAGGGAGAAGTGTAATCAAATAATAAACTAGCTGACGAGAGCCGATTCAATTGTACCATCGGTGGTTGACTTTGAATTCTGTTACTATTATCCTCTTCAGCGCTACCGCCATCACCCTCACCATTACTATAATTATTACTGTCTCCATCGCTGTGATTATTACTGTCTCCACTACTATCACCATTGTTGTTATCATTACTTTCAATTATCACTTCATCACAGCTACCTGTAACATTGATGATATTGATTAAGGGCAAATTATTATTATTACTTATCACTCCATTATCATTATCCGTAATATCGATTAAGGTCGAATCAATATTGTTATTCATATCGTTCGTGGGCAAATCATTATTTTCCGGAGGTAAGCTTTCGAAGTTTGGGATCTCGGGCAAATCCGCTTCGTCTTTCAGACGAATATTTCCCTTACGCTCATGACTTTTATATTTTCGACATATCATGGCAATCATTATTATTATTATCGTCGCAGCAATCAATATAACTCCGAACCACTGAAATGACGTTTTCGACTCATTACCACCATCGGTTGACGAAAGATTTGATTGGTCGGGCAGCGTAGATGTTGTACTCGTATACGTTTTCGAACTTTGTGTGGCACTAGGTTTTAAGAGTTTGTTCGCCGACGATGTTTGCTTGTAGGTAGCAGAAACATGATGATTTCCAGTTAAAGTTGCCAGATGATGATGACCAGAAGTAGCGGTTAAAGTATTTATTACTTGTGATGATTTATCCTTGGTTGTTTCCGGGTCATTTTGAACATCTCTTTCGACGAGCGTACCATTTATTCTTAAGTGTTTTGCCACCATTCCTTATCCGCAATTTTTATTCTACATAAATATGATAATCAATACCTCTATAAAAATAAAAATAAATGTCGAATAAAGCTGTGTTGTCGGGATGCGTGGATTTTGTTGTTTAAGTGAATTTGACTTACAAGAATATGCTTGAATGGCTGAAAATAAAGTTGAGGAAAAGGAAGGAGCGAGGGAAAGGAAGGGAAAGGAGGGGAAAGGAAGGTGGAAAGAGAGGAAAAGAGAAGGGAAAGAGAGAAAAAAGATGCGTTTAACAAGAATTGATATTCACAAAGTATTAAAAAGATGTCTCGGATGTTGTACACAAAATTCAAATTAAAGGTTGCTTTATTAGGTACGTACATGC